TGCCATTAACTTTGGTAGTTGGTTGTTGGCAAGTAGAGGTTAAGTTTGGCTCTTCTGTTTGTGTATAAAATGGGAAGAGATGAGCTAAGTTAGTTCATTAGAAAAAGAAAGACAGAGCAGAGAATGTAATCTGTGAGTGAGAGTGCTATAGAGAAAGAGTGATGTGTGAGTGTTGTAAACTCCCTCCGGGAAAAATTCTATAGTGGATATCTCTTCCGTGGACATAGGCTATTGTCGAACCACGTAAAGTTTTTGTCTCTTTTCTGTGTGTGATTGATTTCTGAGTGGTCTTTATCCTAACACTTCCCACAGTGGTGGTGGTAGTGAACTACCGCTCTGAGCACCTGTGGAACGTTGCACAATGTAAAATGATAAAAGAGTAATTCCTGTACATTTACATTCTCTACAAGGTACTTGCCCATAGCTCTGCTAAATTACTGTCAGTCAGATTCACGAAAATCTTGTGAAGATATATAATCCGTGAATTTTTACAAGAATGACTAACAAGCTTAGGGGTTAAAATGGTTCAAATCCTAACTGCCCGCCTACAAGTACATGATTATGTTCAACCAAAACCTAGAGTATTTAACAAATGGGTCATGAGGCCTCCAAACCCAAGTGCCAAACTCTTAAACCAAAAGTAGGACTAGAAGTGAGAGCGAGAGCATCAATTTGTAAAATGTCTAAGACTGAGGGAGTCTCCAGAGCGTCTATACGTTCATATATGTATGCACATTTTATGTGTAAGATGTTTTCTAATAATTTTATATAGCTTTACATTTGTGTAACTCAGGTACAAAAGTAACACGTCAACAAACCATTGTTAGAAACAGAAAATTCCAGCTACATGGCAAGTAAACATTAGTCAAAACAAAATTCATGAATTTCCCAAGACAAATCTACAAATTTGGGGCGATTCCACTCCCAATTCATATATTCGCGAATAACAGCGCAACGTGGCCTCCGACCCACGCAAGTTAGGCAACTTAGCTCCAAACACAATCCTATTAAAATCACATGAACCCCAACCGAGGAATGTAGGATTATAGGCCGTATCCCATTTTCATCAATATGATATGATTAATGAATGACTCATGGAAAAGGGGCGAAGTGTTAGTAAATAAAAACTTTAAGGGTACACAGTGTAATAATGCCTAACTTGTGGAGCTCGGTGTATTTTTTCTAAACCTCAAAGGAGGTTAGTGTAATTTATCCTAAAATAATAGTACAAACTACTTTGTCTAAAACTAATAGCAAATATTTGTACTGATACAATATGTAATTGCAAGAAACCATAAAATTATTAAATAATAAAAGCTATATATGTTATTAATATTGTGGGGATATATTTTCTGAATACCAACACGTGGCATGGTGACGCCGACGTGTCAGCTGAGGTGCCATGTGTCGTGGTAGATAAGCCGAGATGATCTCGGAGTTGCCGAGGTTATCTCCGAAGATATCGGAATCTGAGATAAGCAGATAAGGGACAAGAGTCCTAAGGCAAAGAGGGGACTTAACCAAGATAAAGGATAAAGCTCTTAGGGAGTTTATCTTTATCTCTTAAAGAGTCCAAAGTAAGCACTAAAGTTGGAGTTCATAGAAGTCATACTTCTAGTAGGACTTGGATTGAGTATATTATAAAAGAGAGGCACCCCCGTGGGTCTAAGGTATGCAATTTATGTTTTAAGTGTTAAGTTTTGCACTTGATTATCTTTGAGAAATATACTGACTTGATCGTCGGAGTGTCCCCGGGTGGAAGAACCACCGCCGGAGCCTTTTCTTTCTGTTTCAGGTTGCTAAAGCCATCTATTCTGCCTGTGCTCTCCAGTTGATCACTAAGCAAGCAGTGTGGTCAGATTTTTACCCACACAATTTGGCGCCGTCTGTGGGAACGAAGGAAGAATAGATGGCCAGTAACGGACAGCAGGAAAATATTGGGGATGACGCTCCCGCTGGGAGTGGCAGACCAATTGACCTTGACATTGAAGGAGACAACCACAATATAGAAGACCGCGACCAGGGTCATAGAGAGAATGACGTCATCCCGGAAGGCGACACGTCAAAAAGGACAAACCAAGGAAAGTACTACAATGAAGATAACCTCCAGGTATGGAGGGACAGGTGCCTACGGAGGGATGAGGAAGTGAAAGAATTGGCGAACAAGTTGACAGAGCTGAGGGGTTAAAATGGTTCAAATCCTAACTGCCCGCCTACAAGTACATGATTATGTTCAACCAAAACCTAGAGCATTTAACAAATGGGTCATGAGGCCTCCAAACCCAAGTGCCAAACTCTTAAACCAGAAGTAGGACTAGAAGCGAGAGCGAGAGCATCAATTTGTAAAATGTCTAAGACTGAGGGAGTCTCCAGAGCGTCTATACGTTCATATATGTATGCACATTTTATGTGTAAGATGTTTTCTAATAATTTTATATAGCTTTACATTTGTGTAACTCAGGTACAAAAGTAACACGTCAACAAACCATTGTTAGAAACAAAAAATTCCAGCTGCATGGCAAGTAAACATTAGTCAAAACAAAATTCATGAATTTCCCAAGACAAATCTACAAATTTGGGGCGATTCCACTCCCAATTCATATATTCGCGAATAACAGCGCAACGTGGCCTCCGACCCACGCAAGTTAGGCAACTTAGCTCCAAACACAATCCTATTAAAATCACATGAACCCCAACCGAGGAATGTAGGATTATAGGCCGTATCCCATTTTCATCAATATGATATGATTAATGAATGACTCATGGAAAAGGGGCGAAGTGTTAGTAAATAAAAACTTTAAGGGTACACAGTGTAATAATGCCTAACTTGTGGAGCTCGGTGTATTTTTTCTAAACCTCAAAGGAGGTTAGTGTAATTTATCCTAAAATAATAGTACAAACTACTTTGTCTAAAACTAATAGCAAATATTTGTACTGATACAATATGTAATTGCAAGAAACCATAAAATTATTAAATAATAAAAGCTATATATGTTATTAATATCTATAGAAAGATATAGAAAAATAACCAATAGGCTAGTTAGCAGGACAAGAGAAGACCCCCAAAAAAAAAAGAAAAAAAGAAAAAAAAAAGGGGTTTTGCTCGAGGCTCTAAACCAATTCCAATATTTATATCAGTCCAAAACGGCAAACCAATCCCGTAAAATTAGTAATACCGGGCACGTTGACGTTGCGGAAACTACTTGGGTTAGGGGAAAGTGCCCCTTTATGAGCAAGTCCTTTGAAGAAAAAAAAAAAGGTCCTTTAAAAAAAAAAGGGTCTTGCTTCTTTATTGAGAGATTTTGGCACTTTCAACAGTTAAAGTATTGGTCGCTAGTCATCTTTGCCCAAGTAACGTCCGACTCTGTTTGTACGTTTCTCTCCATCCGTTAAGTTAGTGGAAGGTTACTTGATCGACTTCGTGACTTAGATTTCAGAAAAAATTAAGTCGGAGAAACCCGAGCAGCAGCAAGCCGATTAGACATACATTCAAACATATGCATCTTTCAACTATTTTGCATATTCATGTACTAGAAATAGTGGGATATGTGAATAATTTGTTAAATTAAATATAATTAATTAAAATGAATAAAATTAATTCAATAATAATAATAATAATAATAATAATAATAATAATAATTATTATTATTATTATTAATATTATTATTAATAATAGATTTTGATTAGAATAATGACCTTTTTTACCACAGTTATAACAGGTAATATCTTTATTAGATTTAGATTTTGGATGTGATTTAGATTTATAATATATCTTTTTGGGTTTAGTGTAAAATTTATCATTTGATTTGGATAGTGAATAATTCTTTTTGTATTTATTAGAATATTTGTAAGATGATTTATGTTTATGTTTGGAATATTTGTGTGATTTTCTACGAGAAGGGGGCAACATGTGGTAAACCATATTGTTCACAGAAATTTCCTAATTTATATTTAGTCATGTGTTTATCTTTATTAGCTTTTTAACTAAGTTTAAGATCAATACACATTTTTAGTCATTCTCTTTGAATAGTGCTAATTATATCACCATATGTTAAATTATTATATTCAATAACTAAGAACATCTCTAATTTTGTGAGCAAATAAACTAGGTAATCCATTAATGAATTTTTCTTTCCAAAATGATTTAGTACAGTCTTCTCTTAACATAACTCTAGAGGTAAAAACATCTTTATAATTATTATTATTATTATAAGATGAGAGCCACAGGAGAATCAAATGAAATGAAAAATAAAAATAAAAATGGAAGGCCAAAAACAATCCTGACGGTAGATTCAATCAAATTCTTTGCTACCAATACAACAAGAAAGTTTCTTCTGGAATTTTTCCAGATACAACAATTGTTCTGAAGTCTGGAGTCTTCAGGTGTGGAAGCATTTGGTTGTATATATTTATCAAAATTGGTCTACATTTTGTCATTCACTAAAACATGTTAGATCTACATTAAATTTTTGATAAGTGAACCAAAATAGAAGATCTATGGAAAAGCAAAAATAGACTTCACAGTTAACTGAAAAAGTAAAATTAGACCTCACAGTGAATTCCCAACTCTTGGTAGCATGCACTGCTTGCTTACAACAGAGTTTGAAACTTTCTTTTTTTTTTAAACCGCAAAAATCCATAGATTCCCCAGTTGCTCACATGATGCACCATTGACGACAAAGGTTGCAAATAAGTCTTGAACTTTATATAATCACCTTTATTTCTTGAGAGAATTTTTAATTAGAAGTAAATGTCCTTGATGCCAAATTAAAGTCTTAGCAACTTTTTTTTTACAACTCTACTTTGTCGACAGATATAAGATGAAACCTAACAGGAAAATCTAACAAATAACCTCTGGAGATTGGGTAAAGGAGAAGATTTTTGTTGAAACTTCCAAATACTTCTAAGTCGTGTTTGGATGGGAAACCCGTCTTTCTTTTCTTTTTCTTTCTCCTTCACAAATCCAAGATTCAAACATAGTTTTAAAACAAACTTGAACCGATAGTAATCTGCATGAGTTATTCCATTATCGACAACCAAAAGAAACAAAATATAAATTATTCTCTAGGCCTAAAATAAGCAAAATATTTCAATAATTGGAAGTACTAAAGCATATTGCAGATGCAAGAAAAGAGGAAAAAAGAAAATAAACAAAAAGTAGTACACAAACAGCACAACTAATTACAGTTTTGGTTCAGAGGTTATAAGTTCCTTCAAGTTTTTTGTCACAATAGTTGAATGCACACACATAAAGAGTTTTTTGTCATAATAGTGTCATTAGTCGAGTCACCCCTTCTTTGACATAGCTGCAAGCCTAGTGTACATCCTTGCCATAGACTGGTATCCTCGGATATCGCCAGAGCGCAGAAGATTGCCTGTGCAAAAAGATCAAGAGCAAACCCTTAGCACGACAAATGCAAGCATGCAAACACCTCAAAGTTATACAAGCTGCGTAAATGGGAACAAAAATCAAAAGCGAACGTTTAAATAAGGAGATAGAACTTGAGGCGGATGTTCATCATCATCCCCATTCTAACATTTCAATCTTTTGTAACCTAGAGCATCTCCAATGGTTCACTTACTGAAACTCTAGCTATTGCTATTTGCTCTATTTTCTTACTTTAATCACAACTATTGAATTGTGATTTTCTATCTTTAATCATAACCAATTACTTATCACCATCTCTCTCTCCCTCTCTCTTCTCTCTCTATATATTTGATGGGTTGGTAATTTTACCTATAGAGCTATTCCTTGTGTCAAATATAACGCAAAGGAATAGCAATGCTACATTATAACAGTGCTTTTACCTCACCATTAGACAGGTGATTTTGGGACTTCTTGTTATTCTTTAGCAATAGCAAGACTTTTACCCAACCATTAGAGAAGCTCTCAGCAGCAATCAAATACATTTTCATGATTTCCAGCTGAATAAGGTTTCACCTAATAAGTAAAAACACAACAACAATTAACATCATCACCATTATGAGGTATTGCATGCATTGTAGCATGAGGCAGGAGTACGACAAAGTATGAATTAACCTAGCAACTACTTTCCCGCTATCATAAACAAAGCGAAGCTTAATAGGAGCCTGAGCTCAGAGAATAGAACAAACTTGACATCACAAAACCAGAAATTGCAATCTCTAAAATTCAAGACAAATGCAATTTCTACTGTACTTCACTTCGAAAAGTCCATTTTTCAACATGTACTAATTCCAATGTTTTGTCGTTCAGTTACCACCCTTGCACTCATCCACACAGCATAATTTATCATAAACCTATGTTATATGAACTTGGGCATGAGTATCAGGTATGGGTGCATGCCCAAGCGTTATACCTTCATAAATTTAAATTTTTAAGATATTGGGATACATATCCAATACAGAACATGAGTATGGGGACTCGTTACGGACACACATGTATTACATATTATATAATATTCTTAAATAAGATGTTGTAAATTATGTAGAAATGTACTTCAAATTGAATAAGATTTAGAACGATTGTGGAATTTTTATCTCTCATCTATATTAGGTTATAAATGTTTCTTTTCTAGCAAATGTGAATTTCTTATTCTTCAAATAGTGAACAAATTGAAGGATCTAAGTGTCTAAATTAAGTACGTATGTCAGACACATATTCCACACTCTTATCCTTGTCATATCCGGTGGGCACGAGTACTTTGGAGGAAAATAGAAGAGTCCATGTAACATAGCTTCAAATCCTTGAAACGTTTTAGTCTATTGAGAAATGGCCCAGCAGATCTTCAACTGCATATATATATATATATATAGAGAGAGAGAGAGAGAGAGAGAGAGAGAGAGAATACATTTTAAGCCTAAGTACCAAAATTCAACTGCATATATATATATATATATATAGAGAGAGAGAGAGAGAGAGAGAGAGAGAGAGAATACATTTTAAGCCTAAGTACCAAAAGGGCTCAAGGAATCTTGTTTGAAGGAGAGGAAAAAAAGACCAGGGGAATTTATTGTTGGGTCAAGTATCAGACTCAAGAAGCAACCAAATGGCACGTAATGTTTACCAACCATGATATTCGTTAGGATTTCTTTCAAGACGTTATTAAACTAGCAGTTTATACTAAGAGAAGTTCAATCAAGTTAAACTGTACCATTGAGATGGCCAACGGAACAATAATAACTATAGAAGCAACTTAAACAATAGGATTGATGGCAGAAACGAGGAGAAAAGGTTAGGATCGGATTTGTCCTACAAACAATTATGCACCAACATCAACATTACCTGAATCACAATTCAGTGGACTATCAGGTTCTGGATGGGCCATTAAAGCAATTATAGCCCTACAAACCGACTGGAGCGTCCAAGCTGGACTCCATGCATTCTTCAGGATATCAAGGCAAATCTCTCCTGTCTGCAAGGGGAAATATTAGAATAAAAATAACCAATCAATCATCTAACTGGTAGTGGTATTACATTCAGCATACAGATTTCAGTATGAACTTCTGGTTTTGTCATAAACAAGGTTCACAAGAAGGTAAGCCTAGCTCATTTTACCAACCAATAGGTCAAGTTAAAGTGCCAGCAAGCTTTGACTATGTTTTGAGATCCAAGAATGACAGGTTTATGAATCATCGATTGTCCAGATGACTAGTACAATCCAGTCATGATATGGTTGAAGCTCATAACTGAATCATAATGTCTTCCCTTTGTTAACCACATCAATTGTCCAGATAACTAGTATAACCCAGTCATGATTCAGCTACCCCGTATAAGACCAAATTTCAAAATGTCATTTATAAATGCTATATGATACATTTACGAGCACAACAGATCAACACGAACCACGACTCCCTTTTCTCATTCTCAGCATTAGAGAATGGATATCACAATGAAGAAGAACACATCAAAAAGATTATACAAAAGATTCATACCTTAAAATGCACATTGGGGTGAAATATTTTGGTTAAGAACCGGACTTGAGGAGGTTGCAGAGGATACTGCTCAGGGACAGAGAAAGCGAGCTGGAAAACACCACCCTCGAAAGGAGTTTCTGATGGTCCCTAGATAAAGAATAAAGTCAAGCAACAGCACAAAACAATGGACTGTCACCATCATCATTACAAAATCTACCTTGATAAGAGCAGTCCATTTAAATATATTGGAATCGTCACAAGCTAGTTGAATATCCGGGTCCGCTGCTTTCTCTCGCTGCACCTCTTTGTATTCCTTGAAAAGCCTTGCCCTTGATGCCTGCATTTAGCACAAAACCACAAGGTTTTTTACCCAGATGAAGTGAAAGCTGAGCACAATGCAACAACAAACTCAAGGAACATGGCCTCGTTTGGCAACTCACTATCTTAGCCTAAAAGTCAAAAACACTAAAAAGCCAATAACCTATACCCAAAAGTCAAATATTCCATTTTCTCTCTACTTTTTGCACATCTTTTCGTAAAAAACCAAAAAATCATTCCAAATAGACTATTTTTTTTTTATTTCATATTTTAGCCAAAAAATTAAAAAGTTAATAAAATAACATGTTCCCAAATGAGACCTTAGTGATGTATTTAGGTTAAATGCAGATTCCTTATGCTATATACAGTACCTAGAAAGTTATCAGTCATTTTCACATATTCACAAGCCTAGAAGATATAAAATTTTAAATAATTTCAGAGTAGAAGCTAAGTAGGGTTTTAGTTTGATTCTAATATAATAGACAATTAGGTTCAGATGAAGCCCGAGTCTCCATTGTTAAATTAATCACAATTATTCAATGGACTCATGTATGGATGCCGGGTACGGGTGGACATCTGAAGGTCAGACCCATAAAACCTAAAATGGTTATGCGGACTAGGGGAAAAAGAGTCATTTCTATATTTTGAATTTGTTATGTGAGAATAAACGGTATTCTATCTAAAATACAACGTCAAAAAGTATTTTACTCATTTTACAGCAATTATTCGATACGACAATATATGTTAAATATCCCACACTCAAGTCCTAAGTTTCAGGTGTCCGACACGAGTATTTGATTTATTTTGAAGTCATCATAAGCCTACTCTCAAGTGATGAATCAAGCAATCACCTCCTCAACTTTCAGTTGATCAATCACCTCCTCAAGAAACCAGTATGTTAGTAGTTTTTCCTTTCAATTTTCACAATCTAATCGAAATTTAAAAATTAAAAAAATAAAAACGATAATTCTTGTTTTGAAATAAGTAGAAACCCCAATTTCCCATACGAATACTCAGCCGAAAAATTAAATAGAACGGAACCTGCATTTTTTGATTGTTGCTTAATAATTCAGTACGCTAAAAAGCTCGGCGAAATCTGAAAGGCAATCAATATCTGCAAAGTTGAAGAAAAAATTAATTAAAACGTTAGATGGTTGTAAAATTCCAAAATTTTCCACCGTTTTCACCCTTGTTTCCCGGAAACCAAACAGAGCAGAATGTCTGAGCGGTCAATAAAAAAGAAGAATAGTTACAAAATTAAAATCTCACCTGCACCTGCAATTCCAGGAATCAGATTTGAGGAGAGAGAGAGAAACCCTAGATCGATTCGATCGATGAATAAGCTAGCTACTGATGATGATGATGAGAGAGAGACGTCTGGAAATTAGATTCGGTGCGCGACAGTCTACCATATTGACGCAGCGCAACCCTATAAAGAGACTCTATGACGTCATATTATGTAAATAGTCGCTGTTTGTAGCGTTTGATTTAAAACCCAAATTACGATTTAGATTTTTAAAAAAAATTTGAACTCTTTTTAAAATTTGTAATTAAACTCTTTTCCTATCACGTATAAAGTTTCAAGTATCAAAATTTTATAGTATAAAAGATATTTAATATTTTCATAATATCTAAGATCTCTCAATATCAATTTAGAGAAAATTTGATTTAGAAAATTTATCTGGATTTTTCACTCTCTAAAGAAATTCTAGACTTTTCAAAGAATTTCTCTTCTCCAAAGAAATATGAGAATTTGATAGAGTTTAGGTTGAAATAGATGAAATAAATTTTTTTTCTAGAACCGCTCCTTCAAAACCCAGGACCACCACCATCACCCTCATCTTCATCTCTCTCCTCTGGCTTTCTAAATAAATTCTTTGGAAATCTAGAGAAATTCTCAGGATTTTAGAGAAAATTATGAAATTGAGGTTGATTCAGAAACGAACCCCACAAAAAAAATTAATTACTTGCCCCAATTATCAAAATTGGATAGAGCTTAGATTGAAAAAGATGAAATGATTTTTTTTGGAATCCACTCCTTTAAAACCCACCACCACCACCACCACCACCACTACCACCGCCTCACCACTACTCATCTTCATCTCTCTCCTCTGGCTTTCTAGAGAAATTCTCTAAAAATCTAGATAAATTCTTTGGATTTAGAGAGAGTTATGAAATTACGGTTGATTCAGAAATCAACCCCACACAAAAATTAATTACTTGCCCTCAATTATCAAAATTGGATAGAGCTTAGATTGAAAAAGATGAAATGAATTTCTCTAAAACCCACTCCTTCAAAACCCGCCACCACCACCACCACCGCCACCATTACCACCCTCCTCTTCATCTCTCTTATGGCTTTCTAGAGAAATTTTCTAAAAATCCAGAGAGGTCGATTTTATAGCATAAAGGACACTCAAATCAGCAACAACAACACCCAATTTATGAATCCAAAAGATGAATATGAATATATATATGTATATATATCATCACCATGAACCTGGTAATGATGATATATATACAAATCACTCAAATCAACAACACACAGATTATACACACACACACATATGAAATATGAAGTTCAAATAATTAAAAAAAGAAGAGAGGATATGTCACAATCTAAACCCACCCTTATGAGTTTAGCATCGTAACCAGCCAGTAATCCGCAATTACCAATGGCCTTCTTAACAATAAAGACAATAATACAATATAAAGGGGCTGGCGGAAGCCATTCAATAATAACATACATCGTCTAATGAGCTGTGAGGACCTAAATGGAAATAAACTTTCATATACATAGTTATATACACAAATACTTAAGTTCATAACACACATGTGTGCATAACAAAACATAAGCTAGGGAATTAAATCCCATTGCCAAAAACAGTTAACAAAACTCAATAAACATTCTTATCTCATAAACACAATGTCAAAAAGGTGAATTTGAATCACCCAATAAGCCCTGACATGCAATGGTTTGGAACCTTGCAGTGAGGTACAGTAGTTGGCTTGACAAAAACAGGGTTTGGGTCAACGCCACTAACTCTGATCCGATGCCCGATCACCTACATATATAATAAACAATGAGTTAGAGCCTAGTGAATAACATCTGCGTAAAGGGGTTATGAATGATGTCCTCACAATATTTGAAACAATCGATTATCAATAGAACATTTTCTCAATTAATATCTTGTGTCAATCAATCATTCAATCGTTCAATTTAACGATCATTCGGATTTATATAAGTTTTACGTGGTACATCCAATAGCAACAATACAATTGGTCTTAAAGACCGAACAATCAATTGATGTCCATCAAACAATTACAATAGTTCCAAGATTTGGAACTGATAGTGATCTCTGTAACAATAGCGATATCAATAACAATACGCTATGGATGCCACGAATACAATTCAAAAGAGGATCATCATTCAATCGATAAAAAGTAACCATTCAGAAACAATATAATTTATCATCCAGAAAATAAATACAATTTGAACATATCTTTACAATAGTGTTACTCACAGTGGGCTCTTGAAAACACGTGCTATTCGTGCGGCGTCTAACCTAAACAAATAAATTCGAGCACAACACAATTACAATCACACGCATATAATTCTATTCAATTCGGTTTCACTCGTTCGGTTCTAATCGCTCATTCGTTCAATTCAATACACTTATGTAATGCAAATGCATGTTTAAGCACTTTAAAACCATGCAAAGGAGGCTTGGAGGATGGAGAAAAGAAGCAAAAATAAAACCAAAATTTTTCCTGAAATCGCACGTACGACAACCCCATTTCACACATGCGGAACTGCTAAAAATGCAACCCGAAAATATGCTTTGTTTTTGGAATCCTTCCTTTTAAAATCTAACTTCATAATTTGTATAATTCAATCCCCAACTCCTCAAAAATAGTTATGAACTTTAATTTGCAACCATTAATTTCAAACTGTGTGGGTGATTTTCCGACCACACTGCCCGCCTAGTAATCAGCTGGAGAGCACCGGCAGAATAGATGGCTTTAGTAACCTGTAACAGAAAGAAAAAGGCTCCGGCGGTGGCTCTTCCACCCGGGGGCACTCTGACGATCAAGTCAGTATATCTCTCAAAGATAATCAAGTGCTAAACTCACAAGCTTGAGTATAAAACTGCGTACTTTAGACCCACGGGGGTGCCTCTCTTTTATAGTTTATTAAATCCAAGTCCCATTAGAAGTCTGACTTCTATGGACTCCAATTTAGTACTCACTTTGGATTCCTCAAGAGATAAAGATAAACTCCCTTATAGCTTTATCCTTATCTTAGTAAAGTCTTCTCTTTTCTCCAGGACTCTTAACCCTAATTTGCTTATCTCGGATTCCGATATCTTTGGAGGCAACCTCGGCATCGCCAAGATAACCTCGGCACAGCTACCATGACACGTGGCACCTCGGCTGACACGTCGGCGTCACCATGCCACGTGTTGGTACTCAGAAAATATATCCCCACACAAACCATAAATTTATAACAATACTTAATTGTTCAACTTATAACCAAAAATCTTTAAAGCAAATTGTAAAATTTTAAAATGTGTATTCAAGCTACAACTCAAACTTTTAAATGATAATTTCTTAGAAATCATGAGAGACCAAGCAAGAATTCATGTCTATAAAACAAATTTGTCCATGAGATGATCATATTTTTTGGACTCAAACATTTTCAAGTGTAAAATCACTATTATATATACAAATTATGTTCTTTTTCATAACTTTTGAGATTTCCTTCTTAAAGTTCATAAATCATGCAAGAAAACAATTGTTTTGTTCATGGATTCTTGAAAACATTACATGCATGTAAAGATCATGCAGCTTAATAGGTGTTTGAACTAAAATTATGCCATGCATGTTAAATATGATAGTTAATTTCCATAATTCCTTCTTTATATGATCATATGAATTCCTAACATCAATTTACACCACTAATCTCATAATATTAAAACAACTCAAGGTCTAAAGGATTATGAGGAAAGCATGTCAATTTCATGGAATTGATGTAGAATTCTTACCTTAAGATTGTGTAGTAATGAAGATTTCAAGTTCCCTTTCTCTTCTCTTATTCCTATCTTCTTTCTCTTATTAAGCTCTTTCTCATAAAGTCTCTCTCTCTCTCTCTCTCTCTCTCTACATGGATAGTGCACCAAGGCAACCAACTCTCTTTCCATTGTTGATTTAGTCTCTTATTCCTAGCCTTATACATATATTAGGCTTAAATTTAATAGGCTAATAAAGCCGTCAAATTTTTTGTCAAAGGTAGTGTTAGGGTTTCGAGAGAGAAGATGAAGAAGTGAGAGAAGGAGGGAGAGAGAGGAAGGAGATCGGCAACATAAGAGTGAGAGAAGCACGACAGCAATAGGTGGTGGTCGGCGGCGATGGCAAATCAGGCAGTGACGGTAGATAAATAAAGAGAGAGAGAGAGAGGCTATGTGGGCTAATAAAATGTAATTTTTGCTTTTTTTGAGTTTGCTATTGGTAAGTTAGAGATTTTCATCCACTTAAAGCTCCTCATACACTTCTACTATATAAAAAAGCATAAATTGATTGAACATACATACATATGATCTGCCAATCAAAAATACATATACATATGATCTGTTAAAACAATCACTCATTTGAAACATTGACATTATTTCAAAATTCTCTCATGTAGAGTAGTGTGTACAATACAAAATTAGCATCTAGCATATATCCTTCTTGATCTTATTCAACAGAAGAAAGAGGATTGATCATAAGGAATGAGAATAAAGATTAGATCATTCTTTCTTCTCACAATCAAACCAAGGTCCTCTTCCATGTCTAGTTCTTCATACTTTTTTCCATCAGGGAGTTTCCAATCGAAATGATACAACAATTGTGCAAGTAGAAGCTCAATATTAGGAATCGCAAATGATATCCCGGGACATATCCTCCTTCCAGCACCAAATGAAATAAACTCAAAATCTCTCCCCTTGAAATCAATTTCACTGTGAAGAAATCTCTCGAGATCAAATTTCTCTACTTCGTTCCAATATTTGGGGTCTTGGCCGATTGCCTAAGCATTGACATTGACTTTGGTCTTGGCTGGTATGTTGTATCCACTAATCATACATTGATCACCGCTTGCTCATGGAACTAACAATGGAGCTAGGTATGCAGCCTCAATGTAACGCCCCCAAAATTATAACACCTTATGATCACAACAGTCAACGTTCATTATAAGAAAGAATGCAATTCCCCAACCTTTACATCATTGAATCATTAAGGTTTGTACAAAACAGTTCCACATGCATTTATACATTCAACGATGTCAAATACATGAATCTATAGCATGTAGAACATTAATTCCAAAAATAAATAAACGCCCTCAAGGGCTTACAATTTCCAAGGCTTAAGCCCGGTTACACAAAAT